GCCACAAAACCTGCTCTGCTTCTCTCTGTGCCTTCTACCATGCTTTTTTTGCCTCTTCAATAAATGAGCTTTTCCTAACTTAAGCACCACCATTTCATACTCCATACCTCAACCATACCACTCGTTTGATATTTCCCTCTCTTTTTTGTTGTTAGTAACAGCAAAATACTATAAACGACTTGCAAGTTCCAGGTTAATGAGATTCAGGTTCGATCCTTTTCTTCCTATACTTTTAGCTTTGACTGAGACTGTTAGTGTGTCGCCAAACTCAGAATATATGGTTTTGACTTTTGAGTTTAAACTTTTTATCACTCTCTTTTTTTTTTAACTTTCTGCCACTGTAAGTTTTCTATTTTTTTTTTCTTGGAAAGTATCGTGCAAAGATCATGTGTGTGTGCCGGGTTTAATGGATCACTAACTTGGAGCTGAAAAAGTATTCAGTGCCACATGCTTATTTCTTTAATGCGTGTAGATAAATAGTTGTACACATGAGCTCGATTTATGTTGACCCCATTTTGCTGAGGCCATCAATTTGTTTAGATTTTGGTACTCACCAATTCTCCTAGGGGCTTTGTATTGATCTATTGCTCACCCTGCAATTCTCCTCTCCAAGGTGATAGTTTAAGTGTATTGGTTTTATAACTTGGTATTTTGGTTTCTATTAGAACGTGTTTTTTTCACTCATCAAATATATTTTTTGGATTCGTTTTGTGAAACTGTAGCTATTGTCTATTGCATTGCCCCTCCCCCTAAATAAATCTACTATCATACATCACAAGATTCAGTTTCAGTGCTTGCCCTGTACTTTATTTAAAATTCTTCTTCCCGTTGCTTGTTTTTAGCTGGACTGTGCTGTGGAGCCAACACAAGATTCTTCAATTATGTCATGGCTAACAAAGTGTGATATAAAACGAAGACAGTATGTTAGCCCCGCTACACGCTTTTTACTTGGACAATCTGGAAAATTGTTAAGTTCATATCAGTCTTCATTGTCTTCATCTGAAAGTTAGTGTGAATTTGAATGGATTTATTATCATATACTATGAGAAGTGAATTAACAGTAATACATACATACTTGCAGTTTCACAAGTCTTTTTGATTGATGGTTTTTTATTCTTCAATCTATTATGTTCATTATGAAATTGGCCCTCCCTTGTGGCTAGTTGTTGATCAATGTTGTAGTTTTCCCTTTCCGTATGGATAACCCTGGATTGTATAGTATTAGCTTCATTCGTTGCATTCTTGGTCTGAGGCCAAATCTAATTATCACATATTTAGATGTTTTATTATATAAGTAAATGCAAATTATACATAAATACGCATCTAGTCTTCTCTGACTTCTCTAAAAGTTTACCCTGGACCATAGTCAAGCAACTTTGTCATTTCGCTAGAAATTTCAGTTGTCTCATAACTTACTTATTCCTCTCTCTGTAGGTATCCACAATTCTCGTGCAGTTATCATAAAAATCTCTTTTGGAAATAGAAACTGACTGCCGCATTCAATTATGAACAACTTCAAGCTAGGGGTAGACGTGGTTAGTGCTCACAATCTATTGCCAAAAGATGGACAAGGTTCATCCAGTGCCTTTGTAGAAATTTACTTTGATGGCCAAAAGTTCCGCACGACCATCAAAGAGAGGGATCTTAACCCGGTTTGGAATGAGAGCTTCTACTTCAATATATCTGATCCTTCCAATCTTCACTATCTCACTCTTGATGTCTATGTCCACAGCCATGCCAAAGCTACTAACTCCACTTCATTTCTTGGCAAGGTTAGCCTTACTGGGACTTCTTTTGTTCCCTACCCTGATGCAGTTGTCTTGCACTATCCATTGGAAAAGCGTGGTATTTTCTCTCGTGTGAGAGGAGAGATTGGCCTTAAAGTTTACGTTACTGATGACCCAACCATAAAATCCTCAATTCCAATTCGTGCTGTTGAGTCGATACCGACAGATAATCCTAGCTTAACACATGCAGAAGTTCAAGCACCTGCGAAGGCAATGACGAACACTTTGCCTAGTGAAAAGGTTCAGTCACGACACACATTTCATCATCTTCCTAACACAAACCACCACCGGCACCAACACCAATCCTCTGGCTTTGCAGATACTCATTATGTAACAAAGTATGAAGCTGATGAAATGAAATCTGAACCACAGCCTATGAAGCTAGTACGCATGCACTCTGCTACATCAGTACAACCAGTTGATTTTGCACTTAAAGAAACAAGCCCATTTCTTGGTGGGGGAAGAGTTGTTGGGGGTCGCGTTATTCATAAAGACAAAACTGCAAGTACATATGATCTTGTGGAAAGGATGTATTTTCTGTATGTTAGAGTTGTCAAGGCTCGTGAGCTTCCTGCTATGGATGTTACTGGGAGTCTTGATCCATTTGTTGAGGTGAGAATTGGAAATTACAAAGGTATTACTAAACACTTTGATAAGAACCAGAGTCCTGAGTGGCACCAGGTGTTTGCCTTTTCAAAGGACCGGATGCAAGCATCTGTACTAGAAGTTGTGATAAAGGACAAGGATCTCATCAAAGATGATTTTGTAGGCATTGTGAGGTTTGACATCAATGAGGTTCCCTTGAGAGTACCGCCTGATAGTCCTTTAGCACCAGAGTGGTACCGCCTTGAGGATAAGAAAGGGGAGAAGATTAAAGGTGAATTGATGCTTGCTGTCTGGATTGGTACTCAAGCAGATGAGGCTTTTTCTGATGCATGGCATTCAGATGCGGCCATACCTGTTGACAGCACGCCTGCTATCTCTGCAGTTATGCGTTCAAAGGTATATCATGCTCCAAGGTTATGGTATGTGCGTATCAACGTTGTGGAGGCACAAGACTTGGTTCCTACAGAGAAAAATCGCTTTCCTGATGTGTATGTCAAGGTGCAGATAGGAAACCAAGTGCTGAAGACAAAAACAATTCCAGCCAGAACTCTAAGTGCCCTGTGGAATGAGGATCTTTTGTTTGTTGCTGCAGAACCTTTTGAAGATCATTTAATAATTTCAGTTGAAGATCGGGTTAGTCCTGGAAAAGATGAGATCATTGGGAGGATCATCATACCACTGAACTCTGTGGAGAGGCGTGCGGATGATAGAATCATTCATTCTCGATGGTTCAACCTGGAAAAGCCAGTTGCTGTGGATGTTGATCAGTTGAAGAAAGAAAAGTTCTCAAGTAGAATTCAGCTCCGTCTATGTCTTGATGGAGGATATCATGTTCTTGATGAGTCAACACATTACAGCAGTGATCTCCGCCCCACAGCAAAGCAGCTGTGGAAGCCACCAATTGGTGTTTTAGAACTCGGAGTGCTGAACGCTGTAGGACTTCACCCAATGAAAACAAGGGATGGTAGGGGCACATCTGATACATACTGTGTAGCAAAATATGGTCATAAATGGGTCAGAACTAGGACAATTGTTGATAATATGTCTCCAAAATACAATGAGCAATACACTTGGGAGGTTTTTGATCAAGCCACAGTTCTTACAGTAGGTGTCTTTGACAACAGCCAGATCGGGGAAAAGGGTAATGCTTCAAAGGACTTGAAAATTGGGAAGGTCAGAATTCGCATCTCAACTCTGGAAACAGGCAGGATTTACACTCACTCGTATCCATTACTGGTTCTTCACCCAACTGGTGTTAAGAAGATGGGTGAACTTCACTTAGCAATACGGTTTTCATGCACTTCTTTTGCAAACATGCTTTATCTATACTCACGACCACTGCTACCAAAAATGCACTACGTAAGGCCTTTCTCTGTCATGCAACTTGACATGCTACGTTACCAAGCAGTGAACATAGTGGCTGCACGACTTGGCCGAGCAGAGCCACCACTTCGTAAGGAAGTGGTGGAATACATGTCAGATGTGGACTCTCACCTGTGGAGCATGCGGCGAAGCAAGGCGAATTTCTTCCGGCTGATGACAGTGCTCTCTGGAGTATTTGCAGTTGGGAAGTGGTTGGGTGATATCTGCATCTGGAGGAATCCGATTACAACAGTGCTGGTTCATGTGCTCTTCCTCATACTTGTTTGCTTTCCAGAATTGATTTTGCCCACTATTTTTCTCTACATGTTTTTGATAGGAGTATGGAACTTCAGATACCGACCCAGATACCCTCCTCACATGAACACAAGAATCTCACAAGCTGAAGCAGTGCATCCAGATGAGTTAGATGAAGAGTTTGACACTTTCCCCACAAACCGAAGCCCAGACCTCGTGAGAATGAGATATGACCGTTTAAGGAGTGTGGCTGGAAGAATTCAAACAGTGGTAGGTGATTTGGCGAGCCAGGGAGAGAGGATTCAAGCATTGTTAAGCTGGAGAGATCCACGTGCTACAGCTATCTTCATTACATCTTGTCTCCTATCTGCATTGGTATTGTATGTTACTCCTCTTCAAGCTGTGGCTGGTTTGGCAGGCTTCTACATCATGAGACATCCAAGATTTCGCCACAGGCTCCCATCTGCCCCAATCAATTTTTTCCGTCGCCTGCCTGCAAGAACAGACAGTATGTTGTAGTGTACTAGTGTAAGTGATGTTTCATTACCACCTTTTCTCCTTTTTTATTATCCTATCTCGTATTTGTTGTGTAATTTCTAGCATGCTCAAGCTCAGGAGGATTTCTAATTTGTCTGTGAATTGCTTAGCTTAGCTGCAAATCACTAGACTTGGAATATAATTATCTTCTAATGTCTTTCTTGGTCCTTGACTTCCTCAATAACCCAAATTAAAACAGACCCTTTTGACTAGCTTTCTTGTAATGTTCTCACCGAGTTCCTTGGCAACTGCAAGCCAAGAAGTCAGACAGACGTCTAAAATGTGTTTTGCATATAATTTTTTATTTTATTTTATAAAAATGAGTTAAGAGTGATACACATTTAAAAGATTTTATTTTTTTCTCTCTCCTCAGAGATTCATCAAAATGGCTAAATGGCCTAGTAGTATATCCAGCTTGATTTTCTGTATTTTTTTTTTTTTTTTGTCAATTAGAGTGAAGAAAAAATGAGGTAGATTTTCTGCAAGTTTCAAGATCTTAACCAATACAGATTTGGGGAAATCTAATTCTAGACTATGATTTTTATCACCCTATTATGTTGAAAACCTGTTTCGTTTTAAGTTAATTCCTTTTTCACGATTAAGAAAAAAGATCGATAAGAGGACAACGGCGATCAACAATGCTTTGACTTTTCAGAAAATCAAACAGTGATCAGGTTCCACCTCTCTGAGAGGATGAACTTTAATCATATTATAAATGAATGTCAACCACTAAAGTATCTGCAATCATATTGTAGTATCTGGGAGCATGACCGCACAACAAACACATAATTAATACACATCACGACGTGCACATTACTACTATTCAAGGCAAAACTCCTACGTGCTTGCATATATGATATTCTAACAATTGCTTTGACAATTATAGGATTTCGTAAGATAGATTTGATATAAAACTAGATATGCCGACTTTTCCAATACATTAGTGAATATTTAGAAAAATATATACGAAGTAACACCGTAAATTTTAAATGGGAAAATAACTTGAACGAGTGAAGTGATACCCCTTTATTTATAATCTTTATTTATAAAGATTCATAACCAAAGCGTCAACTTATGTTAAAGTGTCGGAAAAAATAAAAAGCATTTTGTCGCTGTTTTTTACTGTTTAGGATAGACCAATGCAGACAGAAATCAACACAATATTCAAAGTGATTATACGTACACAACCATCCATTTGGTAGGGTATATATTCTGTTTTTTTTATATAAGAATTTTTAAAAATCTTTTTTGTCTTTAATATAGTATAAGACACTCTAAAGTTTTAGGAATATTTATTATTTTTTCACATGTTTATCTTTTATTGTTGAACTTTTCTAAATTCTTAACAGTTAATATAATACTAGAATTTGACTTTAATTAGAAGTAAATTAGATGCTGTAATTAATTTTGTGAAAATTACTATACTAACCTCTTTCAATAATTTTTCTCAATACACGTGATTTAATCAAAAGGTTCTAACAAAAAAGACTTGAAGGAGTAATGATTTTTTTTATTAAAAACTATATAATTTAATATAATTCAATGCATTGATATTATTAAATGCTATAAATTTTTAAAACATAATATTTATTAATTTGTTTACATGCTTTTTACACATATTAAAAATACGAATAACGTATATGTTAATCCTATTTAAAAACCTGAAATTCTATATTTAACAGAATTCACATATAATTTATGGAAAAAAATAAATGTTGATTCAAAAATTAAAATATTCTACTAATACTATTTGTATTGTAACTGGCTTTGAAACTGATTTAGTAAGCTGTTGACATTAGTTCTAATTCAGCTACAATATCCATTAAACTTGTGTAACATGTGTGTAATTCAATTAGTTCTGAAAATCCCCTGAAATCTTTTCTTCTTGTCTCTGATCTATTCCTTCTCATTGCTCAATCTAATCTGATACTTTTAGTTGCTCTTTTAACATACAGTTAGCTTTGAGAGAGACTAACTTAGAGCTGAAAAAGTATCGCTGCCACATGGTGATCTCTTTGAATGCTTTGTAGATAACTTTTACAAGTTTTGTACATGATCCTGATTTATGAAGAGGTGATTGTTGACCCCATCATGGAGAGGATGAATGTTAATTGCATTATGAATATCAACCACTAAAATATTACAATATGTTTCCCAATGCACATCTCGACGTGCATATTATTATTTAATCAAGGAAAATTGCCACGTGCTTGCATGATAAAGTATTAGGTGAGAAAATGATGATTAATTTTCCCTCTACTATATAAAGTTCAGAAGTAATGGATCCTCATTCCTCAAACTATTATCACCCACAAAATGGCTGTGTCTATATCCAGAAAAAGATTGAAATCATCTAGAAAACTAGACGCTAGAAAATCTTACTTTGGCTTTACAATCCTATACAACTTTTTCAGTCGAGTTTCTGCTCTAGTCTTCCTTATAATCCTTATCTACATGTGGTCTTCCTTCTCCACCATTATATCAGGAAACATCATTCATGTTTGCTTTTCCACGAGAAAGCTCAATAGCCTCTATTGTCTATCTGCAGGTACTCACCCCTCCTTTGAAATCCCAACTTCAACAAACAATAATAGCTCTATTACTCCTGGAATTGAGGGTAACAATGTAACTGAGCCTAGTAAAGTTCAAGGCACCCCATATATGGTTACAAGAAGAGTAGATAACAATGATAGAGATAAAGAGGTTGCAAATGCTGTTAAGGTCGTTGAGGAACAGTTGCAGATTCATCGATCATGGAGGTCAGATAAAAACTATGCAACTTGTGCTGGTCAAGGAATATATGTGTATGATTTGCCATTCAAGTTTAACAAGGACTTGGTGGGTCAATGCCACGACATGGTTCCATGGCAAGATTTCTGCAGCTATTTCAGTAACGAGGGGTTGGGAGAGCCAATAACCAAGCTTGGTAAAGGATGGTATCGAACTCATCAGTACTCACTCGAACTCATATTTCATTCGAGGGTCTTGAAGCATCCATGCAGGGTTTATGATGAAAATGATGCAAAGCTCTTCTATGTCCCATTCTATGGTGGTTTGGATATCTTGCGATGGCATTTCAAGAATGTGTCAAATGATGTCAAGGACAGTTTGGCTTTGGAATTGGTGAAGTGGCTTGAGAGACAAGGACCATGGAAAAGGAGTTCAGGTAAGGATCATGTGTTTGTGTTGGGAAAGATTTCATGGGATTTTCGGAGAACTAGTGAATCTCCTTGGGGTACTAGATTATTAGAGTATGAGAAAATGCAAAAACCCATTAAGCTCTTGATCGAACGCCAACCTTGGCACGTGAATGACATTGGAATTCCTCATCCAACTCATTTCCACCCTCATTCAGACAATGATATAATAGCTTGGCAAATGAAAATCATTAGATCAAATCGCAAAAACCTTGTTAGTTTTGCTGGGGCAGCTCGAGCTGATGCAGAAGACAACATAAGGTCAATAATAATTGACCAATGCACTTCATTGGGTAATGGCAAATGCCAGTTTCTGAATTGCAGTTCTGTCAAATGTGATGAGGCAGAATCAATTATAGGACTTTTTGTGGAGTCTGAGTTCTGTTTGCAGCCTCCAGGGGATAGCCCAACAAGAAAATCTGTTTTTGATTCACTCATATCAGGTTGCATCCCAGTTCTTTTTGACCCTTTTACAGCTTACTACCAATATCCCTGGCATTTACCTCAAGACCATGATAAGTACTCTGTGTTTATGGACAAAAGAGAGGTGATACAAATGAATGTAAACGTAGTGGAGAGGCTAAGCAATATTTCATCAAGAGAGAGGGAAAATATGAGGAGGTATATTATATATGAACTATTGCCTGGCTTGGTATATGGAGATTACAACGCTGAGTTTGACAAGTTTCAGGATGCATTTTCTATCACTGTGAATAATCTGCTTGAGAGGGTTAGCAGATTAAATGAAGCATATAAGGATTGATTTTTTTGTTGGATACTTTCAACACACTATGCAGTGTTCTTAACTTCTGATTTTCTTTTTATTAATTTTTTCACTTGCTGCTCTTTTCACAATTACTTACTAACAATACTTGAAATCATCTTTCATTAATAATAAGGTGTGAAAATGTTAAATTATTTTTCTTGTTCATTGACATGATGTAGACATGATGTATCTAAATTATTCTCGCTTAATTTATTACTAGTTTATCTGTTTCTCCTTTTTATAAACTACGATCAGGAAGTTTTTTGAAGTGACAAGTGTTGTATGGGTTTACCTAGTTCAGAGAAGGTTAGTATATTATCACCGATGAATTGGCAGTAGATACTTTAGAGCATCTCCAATAGGTCCAATTTAGTTCAACTTTTAAACAAGTTTTGATTTAAAAAAAAAGATTAGTATAAAAAGTAAATAAAATTTCCGTTATACATTAAAAATAATTTATCTTTTGAAATTTTAGAAAAAAATATAAAAGTTTATCAGAACTTCTTAAAAAATAAGAAGTATAATTGTTTTTAACTTATAAAAAAATATTTATTTTTTATACTTATTTGTATTTTTTACACAGATTTCTTTAGAACTCTACTTAAAATGGGTCATAATTTAACAAAATTATTACTTTTTATTTTATAATTTTCATATAAAGTTTAGAATGAATCATTGCATTTAACTTTATACAATTTAAGTTATTATTTTTTTTTATAGAGTGACTCTATCAAATAAACCTCACAAAATATTCTACATCTTTATATTCCATCAACGTTTATGCAGTTACAAAAACAATTGTTGCTTATTCAAAGTATTGTTACTATTAAAAGAACTTCATTTAAGTAGTCTCTGATGTTATAAGAAAAATACTAATAGTATACTGTACTATTTGGACACTTTTTAACACATTTCATATGACTTATTTATTTTTTAAAAAGTCAAAATGCATGTTTTATGAATTGATTGATATTTAAAAATCATTTCATTTTTTAAAAAAAAATAATCAATAAAAAATATGTTGAATAGTGTATTTAAAAAATATATTATTAGCATTTTTTATGTTAGAATTGAAAAAATAGGGTTTCTCAACAGTAAAAAACAAAAAAAACAAAAACCTTTAGCTGCCAACGAATTGGGATCAATCCTCTACATGGCAATTTGCATGTCCAAAAGAGCATTAAAAATGATAGTCAAATACTTTGATATGAAAAGTGAACAAAGTGTTGTTTTTTGGATGGTTGAATAAATAGTTTAATTAAGTTGAAAAATTTATTGTACAAGAGTTTATAATATATATTTAATTTAAAATAAAGAGTTTAAGTTTGATGCAATGTTAGTGTAAATTTTTTTACAGTATCAATTAATTGAAATACACTATAAATATTATTTTTATGTTAATAATTACAAAATCTAACATTTTTTGTTGATATGGTAAGTCATGATCGGATGAAAGTGTAGTGTAAGTGTATTTAAATTAAACTCTAAAATAATTTAAAATTTATTTTAACAAATTTTGAAAAATTTTAATTAGAAAGTATTAATAATATAAAATATATTATATTACCATTTAATCATAAATTATTGTATGAATAAAAATAATTAAATTTTATAATAACTAATTTTTTAAAAAAAATTACTGTATGTTTTAATTAATCAATAATATGAAAAATTGAAGTTCAAAATTTTTTTTAAAAAATGACATAAATTGTTCTAAACATCCCATTGATCGTCCTGTTGTAATCATATGAACGTCCTTTTCTGCCCTACGGAATAAATTCTCATATTCTGTCAAACCTTCATCCCTAATTGGGTTTGTTAATTTGGCTTTAATTAGTTCTGTGAACATTAATTAGTTGTGTCAAACCTTCATCCCTACGCAATGACATAATTTGCTTACACGTATCATCCCTTGGATGAGAGTATACAAATTCACATTGAATATAATTGATTACGCTTGTTTGCAGGATGCTACTGGTAAGTTCTAAGTTTTAGTAAACTTTTACATGAATTTGAGTCTATAATTACTTCAATAAGTTGAATTTAAATGTGTTAAAAGAATTTGAATTTAAGTAACTTATTTTACGTAGAAATATGAAAGTTCATTTTAATCTTTTTTAATCTTTTTTTTTGTAATTTACTGAAATCATGTTCACATGATTTTAATATAGGTGAATGTGAATGGTGACATTGCTGCTCAAGTTTCTGATATCAAGCAAGGGTGGACTCTTTGGGGGACAATATCAAATGGAACAACTTCTCCAAATTCCTTGTTGATAAGGATGGGAATGTGCATGAAACTATCAAGCCGGACACTACTGTTTTCTGCTTGTTCGTGCACGAAATGCGTCTATATATTGTGAATTTTGAGAAATTGTCAAGGATTACTGGAGCAACACATTTATTGTTATGAAATGAAGTATTAAATGTATGCTACATCATCTGTAACATTTAAAATGTTAAGATTGAAGCAACCATTGCTTAAGAAGTCTAGGTGATCATATTTAAATTGCTGAATAATACCAATTAAAGTTTTTCTTAATTTTGAAATGCAAAAAATCTCTCGTGATTTTTCGAATCTTCAGCACCTGTACAATGATTTTTTAAAAACAAAATAACATAAAATATATATATTAGTGACTACTTCTATATGTTTTCAGTTGTGTTTTAGTTCAGAGTTGTCAAAATAGATTTGACCCAACAAACCGACTCGTTTAATCCATTAAATTTAGCAGGTCATGATGAGTAGTTTGGACTCAACATCTCGTTTAGCCTGCTAAAATATGGACCAATAATGAGGTGGAGCAGCTAGTCCGTCGGACCCATTTTTTATTTTTAAAATTTAAAAAATAATTATTTATAAATTAAATATTTTTTATTATTTATTGTTTTTTTTTTTGTTTTTTTTTAGTGGACTAACCCATTAAAAAATCTGTAATTTAAGTTTGATAAGATATCAAATTTTAAATAACAAGGTGTAATTATTAGTAAAAACATCAATTTAAATAGTGTTTAATTTAACTTATTTTTAATTTCTTTTTTCCTTCAAATCAAGTTTAAAACAAACAAAATCTTAAGAAAATATTTATTGCTTAAAAAAGTATTTGTTTTTAATGCATAAATTTAAAAAATAAAAGGTAAAAAAAAATAGCTTTAACATATTTTACATCTACCTCTATTTTTTCATTTCAAATTTTAAGATGTAAACATCATATCTAAAATTTAACTTATATTATGTGATTAATTAAACAGTTGTTACGCGTCAACTTTTTTTAAAATCACGCTATTATTAAAAATAAAATAAAATAAATGAATTGAGAAAATAGAAACTAAACTCCGCGCGCATATATATATATATGAAATTCAATTCCTGTTTCGTTAATTATCATTTTATAATATCTGAAAAATAGATATGGACACTTAATTAGAATAATTTTGATTGTCAAAAGATTTTACTGAATTATAAATCCTATTTTTAGACTGAATAATAACAATAATATTTCTAACTTCTTTTCGCATAAGAAATATTATTAATTTTTTAATCGAATACAATATGCACAATAATGATTTAAACAGATTCAATTATTGAGTCAGCTAACATAAAGAATTTGAGTTTGGATGCTCATATGCACATCAGACAAGATTCCCACCCACGTGTGAAATCACTATTGGTCACATGTTTCAACGTTCAACTCTCAAAATTGAAGAGCTGATTTGTTCCGTTCTCAGTTCAGTTCCTCCTCTCATCTTGGGCAGTAGCATACCATGACCACCCAATCCACCAATGATCCAAAATCCGTGTATGATTTTGTTGTCAAGGTTGGTCTTCTTATTTCATGTGTTGCTTCATCCTATCTGGTTTTCACTCATCATTGAATTTATTTGGATAAATAAACTATGACTTTTACCTATTTTGGAGATGAAAGAATTCCTCTTTTCCATCTTTCTTAAGATTCTATATTACATCATGCAATAAATAAATGTTGGGTGCTTTAAGGCTTTGACTTGAAGGTGTTTATGTATGCTGCAAGAACACAAATGTGTAATAAGTAATAACTAAAAATCCTGTTGCATTCCTTCCATTCACCTGCAGGATGCTAAGGGAGATCATGTAGATCTCTCCACTTACAAGGGAAAAGTCTTGCTCATTGTCAACGTAGCTTCTAAATGGTGTCCTTAACTTGTTCACTTTTACTGATTACTTCTTTTTCCCCTGACTGTGCCTTCTATTAATTTAAATGTTTTGTTACTATCCTAAGCATTTAAAGATAACAAGTTGTTTTTGAAAAAATAAAATTTATTATGCTTTTATAATTTTTATGTAATTAATATTATTTTTTACTAATAAAATCTTATTATTTTTAGTTACTCAACGGGTAGAGGTTAAAATTCTCTTTAATCTAGAGCCTTTGATACTTTCTTCTTTTTGTAGTTAATAAATTTTCAGGAGGAACTTTTTTCCCAGCTGGGATAGTTCCGGTTCTTGTCAGCAACTATTCTCACTCCCATTTTCATAAATGTTGAGAATATTAACATTTGTTGTTTGGAATTGAGACAGTGGATTGACCAACTCCAATTATACAGAGCTGAATCAATTATATGAGAAGTATAAAGAGGAAGGTTTGTACTAGACCCTTCTACTATTCTTTGTTTGCCATTTTCCAACTGTAACAATCATAAGTCAAATAACCTTAGGATAATAAGCATCTAGATCCTACGAAGAAATATTATTGGATTCCCTATCAACAATTTTAATAGATGCTTTATTAAATGATGGAACTTGTCCAAATACATTCTCTCTTCCTGCTGATATTTTTCCCGCATGGAAATACAATGATATTATGATGCATTACCCTTATTATCTTTGAAAAACTTAATTAGGCCTGGAGATTCTGGCATTTCCATGTAACCAATTTCGTGAACAAGAACCCGAAAGCAATGCTAAAATTGTGGAGTTTGTCTGCACTCGCTTCAAATCTGAATTCCCCATCTTTGATAAGGTAGGTCAGACACATAAATAAATGATCTTCAAAAGCTTACTTAAACTTACCAAAACTGTCTAGGAACTTAGATAATTGCACAAAGTTTTTTGAAGAAGCGTGACATGCACTGGTATAACACATCTCTCTTCTTAATTCTTGATAGATTGAAGTGAATGGGGACAATTCTGCACCTTTGTATAAATTCTTGAAATTAGGCAAATGGGGACTTTTTGGGGATGATATTCAGTGGAACTTTGCCAAATTTCTTGTTGACAAGAATGGACAAGTGGTGGGTCGTTACTACCCCACCACACCTCCTCTCAGCATTGAGGCAAACATAACACAATAATAATGTCATTATTCAAATTAATTCATGTGCTTCATGCTGTAATTGTAATTCTTTTGGCATAATTTTTATTGTATTGCAGCGTGACATCATCCAACTTCTAGGTATTTCCTGAAGGTAAAAGGATTCAACTCAGCACAGAGGATCCAACTCGGCAATGTGCACCATGGTTAATAGGTTATGCTAAAACAAATAATAATGGCTTAATTATACTTACGGACACGATTATGATGCCTGGTTTCAATTGTGACGTATAATGCTATGTCGTATAATGACTTCGTCCTTTATGTCTTTGCAGTTCGTATTTGAATTCAGTTCGTGAGTCGTGTGCAACTCTACTTTGCAGCAAATATTTGAGCTATTTGCTTAGTACGTACAAACTATAAACATTCACCAATAAAACACGAAAGTTTCAAATGATGAAACCATAAAAAAGCTGGACCATAATCATAATAATATTTCTTGTCTTATTAATTTTCTTCTTTTTTTTTGTCGAAATATTATTCTTTGTCTTTTAAGTTAATATAAACTTTTTAAGAAAATTATTAGTTACACAAATTAGTGGGATAAAATAATTTTCTTTCACAAAATTATCCTTATTAGAAGAGTTAGAATATAATTGTAAATCCATTTAAGTATGTAGATGAAATGCTGGTAAATAAGATTAATGATAAGAAAGTACTATCTTTAGCCTTATTTATGAGAAAGAATTATTATTTTTTTTAGTCTTAAATGTAAGAAATAAATGCCCTTTTTAATGTATTAATTGTTAAACTTTTTTATATTCTTATTATTGTATGATTTGTATCAACGAGGTGCTAACTCTTTGTCCATAAAAGTTAATACATTCATTCTTTTAACATATAACAAACTAATTTGATAATTTAATATTATAAATATTTTAAAATAGAGTATAAATTTATTATATATAACTACTTTTTATTACTATACGTTTCTTATAAATAAAATTGATAGTAATATTTTCTTAATTAAGACAAATGACTTCCAAGGTATGTTTTATAGTATTTTGTTCCTTAAAATCATATAAATGACTAACGTGAGAGTGAGAGGTACTATGCAACTAATTAGCCGTATCTGATGTTAATTTTCGTTGATACGTAAATTATATAGTATTATTAAATAAAACGACCTTCAAAGCATGTTTAAATGAAAGAATTTAAAATAAACACAAATGTTCCATGATCTTTTATAAATATTTTATAATTATCATCATTTGACAATAAAAAAAAATCAATAATTTCAACTACCTCAATCCTCAATCGAACATGTATTTAATAAATTATTGTATCGTGCATAAAATAAAAACGTTGGTTTGATACATAAAGTACAATAATATTTTAAGCATATGCATAAACAAACAACACATAATTGGGAGCAATCACTACCTTCTACAAGTCATTTCCCACAATTTTTATGATAAGTCGCGAATAGCCAATCATTTCCGCAATGACCATACGCGATGGTATAACGATAAATCAGTTTCAAATAATACCGCTCAGATTCGTTAAAAGCGCAAGTCTAACTTTCTGATAAAGTACTCTAAATAGTAAACCGTCATAAAGTACATGATTTATTATTACCCCTTAAAGTACATGATTTATTATTACCCCTAGTAACTATAGATAAAGGTACAAATTAAATGAAGTTAACTAAATAAGTTACATGCATCACACAATACAATTGAAAATAATTAAAAAATAAATTTTGATTAATTAACAAGTCTTTTTTTAATAACTTTTTTAAATTTCGTCTAAGTCTCTAATACTCTTTTGTTAACAATTATTTCAAATCATCTTTATTTTTTCATGTGTCCACTCATCTCCCTTAACAATCTTTTTTATATCCCTCCAATATTCTCCATAATATCATCATTTCTTATCCTAAACTTTCTCATATACACTCATCTAATTTAGAATTCTTTTTTTTTTTTCACTTTTACTTTCTTCTTTTTAAGGCCCAACATTCTCCCGTATAAATGCATTGAAAACAATTAAAAAAAAATTAATGAGAACCGAGAAGGCAAGAGGCTGAAATTTTCTCCGTTTAGGAAAGATATTTGAGCTGGGAAGTGGAGAACAATGCCTTTGAAAGTGAAGCCCTGAAAATGTTAATGTTATATTTGCGGTAATCAAAGTGAGATGGTAGATGTGCTATTACTTGTTAAGCTCAGGCTCAACAGTTAACACAGCATAATCTTGACTATTTGCCTATCATTTCAACAAAACATTGTATATGTCAAGATTGTTACTTAACCCTGAAATGATCCATTTGTTACAGCATAGGTTAGTGCGAACTTGTCACAGCAAGTCACAATGCTCACAAATTCGGTTCATTTACAACAAGAGATATGTATATATATATAATATATACACAAAACTGCAATGTCTCTTCCAGAATAAAATTTCACCCACGCGTCAAGTCAATACCAGTGTGTGGATGTGGACTTTTCACATCTACCGGTCTTGATCCAGGCCAAATGCCTGCTGCAGAAGAAGAGTTGTAGTTTTGATTAGGTGGGGCACTGGCTGGAGAAGCTAACTTATCACTACTCTGAGGCTCTGAACCACTATCTTTCCCTTGCTTAGCTTTTGGCTTAGAGCCTCCATAAACAAAAGTGCATACTACAACCTGCAGGAACCAGAGTCTCAACTTTATTGCAGAGGTTGAATCTAAGAGCATTCTAAGATGCACAAGAATGTAAATCATTATAGAAAACACCTTACAGTTGTTTAACCTTTGGCTCTAGCATAACATTTATGGATGAGCATGCAGCATGCAAGAAGAATAAGAACGATCCTACAGAGTTTAGGGCAATCAAGAATATACCTGCACTGGACTCGCAGCAATAAGCCTAGCAACACCACCACCAATAACATGACCATCAGGACTAGAAAGGGAAACACTCATGCCACCAGTTCTGTTGCGAGGTCCGCCATCTTCAGCAACTAAGTAAGAACCAGACAAACATAATATTTGAAATCGGCCCTGCAAAAGGTAAAACACAAAATGCTCATTATTGAATCATCAGAACCAACAATTTAAAGCACTTTTATTTTGGTCACCAACAACCTAAAGCATTTTAACAGTACTTGTTAACCACTGCAAACAGCTTCTTTTCTACACACTACAATAGCAGAATTGCTGACATGAAAGGCATTAAACTTCTTTTTCCGGGGCAGTACAGAACTATAACTAAAACTTAGCTACAATTTAATAACTTATCACTAACTGGAACATTGAAGGGAGATAGAGAAGATAAAGAGCAGATAATAATTAGAGTTAAAATTGCTAGTTGTGGAGGTAAGTAATCTTTAGTTCTTTAACCTCATATGTAACACTGACGCTAGTAGAAGCTGGCTGGCGCAGAGTGACTGAAGAAACTGTCCCAGTTCCTGATAAGATGCATACTGCCCTTGGTCTCTGCTGTGAAAATGACAATAACTTTCCTACAATGTCCTAAACAAAGAAAGTCTATCATTCAAGGAACTCATAAACCAATGACCAACAATAAATGACAATCTAGAAGGCTTATATTATGATAAAAAGCAACTCCATCCTTGCATGCCTTTCAGTGGTTTCTAATTATATAAATCATCCATGGGCCTTGCATGTCATGAAAGGTAAAATAAAATTACTCTATGATTTAAGAAAACTACTCTGCATTGTTACTTTTCTGATGCCTTAACAAGGCATATGGAGTCAACTACGAACAACTTATTAAAATGTTTCCCAGGTCATGAAAGGCAATTTTTCTGAGTTTGGAAAATCACTTTTTTCTGAAGTTGATGTGAAACAATGATTTTGGACTCACTAAATCTTGAAATTTTGCAAATGAACACACCAATACTTAAAGTGAAATCCTGTTTAGATGCATACAGCCCAACATTATATATTGAGGATTTAAAAGAAAATGAACTGTAAGAGAACTAAACAAATAATCAAAACCTACTCTTTAGCAAAAATGAAAGAGTATAACTACCTCCCCAACACCAACGGTGATAACATGAGGTGAAAAAGCCAGTCCTGCAGAACTGTTCATCCATTCACCTAGGAAAATAAGAACAAACATGTTAAAAGTTCACACACTTCATACCATAAGAATGATAAAGATAGCATTTCCTGTTACTACTGTGAGTTACCTTCAAAATAATTAGAAAGCAATTGCACCAGAAAGCAAAGGGTAAAGTGCAAAACTAATAAGTGTCTAGGTTTTCATGGTTTCTAAATTTTTTTTGGGTGAGTCTAGACTAGATATTTGAATCTTAAACAAGTATAACAGTCAGTACTCAGTACATAAGATCAATACTAGAGATCATGATAATGGAACATGTTTGAGAACACACCTTTTTTTTTGTCTTTCAACAGTTATTTATGGAAGCTAGCAAAAACACAAAAAGATTTTCAAAACAAACAGAACCAAACACGCACTAATTGTCTCAGTTCAACCAGTCCAATAAATGAACAGGTGATCCATGTATTACAATAATGATCAGTTTAGCAATTTTACAAGCAGGATTTTTTACTAAGTAAGAAGATGCCAATAATCCGGAGTCCTGGACCACAAACATAGAGCACAATAATGGCAAAAAAAAAAGGGAAAAAAAAAATACCCAAACAATAAAAGCAAAAGAAAAACAAAGAATTGAAATACCAGTTCAAGCTATAAAGCATCTAGAAATAGAAAAATAACAGTTTGAATGAAAAGCACGTCCATCCACCTTTCTGTTCAGTAGATTACAAATGACAACAAGATGGAAAGCCTATAGTAAGTCTGGATGTTAATCAGAAATTTAAACAGCTACCTACTTTTGTACTCACCAAATAACTATAAAATTAAAATTTAACAGCATCATAGTCTGCCACTGATTTTCTCATAATCCCAGCCATTAATTTTCTTAGAGTAACTATATAATTAGTCTTTAGAGAGGTTTACTTGTATTGCTTTGATCCCCAAAAGTTTTCATCAATACAAATTTGGTTCCTAAAGGAACAGACTTGTTAGCAAGTAAACAATTTCAATAGGAAAACTTGTAGGCAAACTGACAAATTCAAACCCAAAGAAAAAAACATACATTTGTGGGGTACCTTATGAATAATCACAACTCTTCACTTTTCGCTCTGAAATGATAGTTTCACTTTTGAGGAGCTAAATCCTACCACTACTATATACAATCAATTAATCAACACAAAATGAAAAGTCTCGTACAAATGTACCTAGAGTGGCTAACTGTTGCTTCCTTCCACTTCCAGGTGGGCGCCCTCTAGGCCGTTTCTGGGAAGAAGTACTTGAAGCAGGGTTGGAATTAGCAGTGGCAGACATGGGAGAGAGTCTCAAAGAAACTGGTCCATCAGGACCGTACTTACGAGGCCTCCCTCTTTTCTTTTTCACAGGACCTACAGAAGAAGGTACTCCATGATCAGGAGAAGAACCCATGTTAATGCCATGACCAAAACTACCACGCTGGGGCTCTACTGAAAATGTAGAACCTATAGAGTCACCCCTGACACTTGACAAAGCTCTGAACCCAGAGGGTGCTTGGAACCCTTCACTCTGTGCTCCAGAACCAGACCCTCCAACCCCTCCCCTATGCTGCATGTAATATGGAGCAGAACCGCCAGAAAATGCCATAGCTTCTCTCCCATCCATGCATTTACTAAGAGAGTTGTGAATTGCGACAAATACACTATTTTTTCCTCCTCAAACCAAATCCTTTTCACTAGAGTTAACTCCTTTAGCTGAGAAAGCACACAATCACATGGGTTGAGCCAGGTACTATTCTCCTACTGTCAAAAAGTAAATACCTTTGAAAATGGCAAAAAGATTAGATTTTTAACCCGAAATCAACCAAAGAAAGGGGGGATCTAAAACTCAGCAGCTAACAAGCTCGAATATTGTGTCAAGTGAATGCTAGAACAAGGGTTTTGTAAGGGCTTTGTTTACCTAAGAACACCACAAAGAAGATGAGATGTGAAGACCCAATAGAAAGAAATTAGAGAAAAAAAAAAAGAAAGGAAGCAGTTTTAGGGCCCAAACAGAATCACCATTGAAAAACCATGAAAGAGTAAGGGAAAATGTAGAAAAACCAGAAGCTTAGATTGAAAATAGAAAAGTGAAACTAGGAAGGTGGCAGTTCCGGAGGAATCATGTTATTAACACATTAAGAAAACAAAACCCTAGATTTGAAAATCTAGGGTTTTGACAGAAGAATGCAGTGTAGGTGGTGGAAAAGGGAAGAAAAGACAAAGAGTGGGACTTCACTAGGGACTTGAGTTGGGAAGGAAAACTAAAATAATTTTTATTTTAATTTAAAAGAAAGAGCTTTTGAATTAAAGTGAGGTAAGCGCGTGTGTGAAAAGAAAAGGATGGGTGAATGTGCATTGAATGTGTAGTGGAGAGTGGTGAGGCAGAGGTGATGGAAGTATGTGACCAAAAATGGCTAAAAAAAAAAGGAACTGAAACGAAACGTAGCAACACATGGAAACGGAGAATAGTGATATTAATTTTAAAGGACAGTGTGGACCCTACCAAAGTACCGAACCCAGCCACAATCTCCTTCTCCACAGCTTATTGTTAGGGCAGTGACCCTACGGTGGGAACACTTCTTGAAAAATAATTATATATTTATTTTATTTATGAAATTATTCGTGGTATTTGTGAAATTATTTTATTAATTTATTTATATATTTTTATTTTAAAATAAATTACATAAATATTTTATTATTACAATAATCATATATATTTAATTTTTTTTAGAAATTATACATTATTAAAATTAATGTATTTATTATTTAGATTTCAGTATAGATATATTAGTATTTTTTTTGTTGACCGATTAGAAATGGCAAAACCGGGCCGTTTTATTGAAATCACTAAAAAAACTGAGTTGGATTCAACTCATCTTACTTTTTATAGCCTCTTTTTATAAAAGAATTAAAATGCTAAAATATAGAATTAAAAAATATACATAAATATGAAAAAATTTTAAAATCTTATATTACTTTAAAAAAATTATATTTTAAAAAATTATTAATACATATTTTTTATTTTTAAAAATTTGTTATTATTTTTAAATATCTTAATACATAAAAAAATCTTACTTTTTAGGTCACATAAAAATCCAAAGCTTTTGAAGTGAGTAAATAAAAAAATCACATGTAAAAATAAGTTAGATTTGACTCATTTTATTTTCTAAGTCACTTAAAAATATCAATTTATCTTGCCTTTGAAGTGAGTTAATAGAGATAATTTAGACTCAAATTTAAAATTATAAGTTAAATTTTTAATCTTTATTAATTGATCACATGCTTAGTAATTTAAGTTAATAGATTGATTCATGTAAATAAAAATATTATAAATTAAATATAAATATTCTAACTTAAATAAATGATTAACTATATTAGTATTAAAATGTAATTTTTAATATTTATTAAATTTAATTATTTAAAAATTAAAAATATATTAAAAAATCGTATATATTTATTGCATTTTTTGAAAATTTTGACTGACACCTAATTCACTTTAAAATGTGGGTTAAGAAGGAGTTGCATAGACAAATTTAAAATTTTCAATACTCCGTACAAAAAAATATAGATTAGGGGGTGAACCTCACAGATTGATTGTCAACCTTATAATTGATATTCCCTCATTAATTGTTATATATTTTCTCTGTATTTAAACTTATTTGCCAAATATTTTAATTTATTATTTTTAAATTTAATCTTCTGAATAACTTTTACGCTTCTAAGTTTTAACTAATTTTTTAAAAAAAGTAATCCACTAATTTTATCAAATTGACAATTCTTTTTAACACAATAGTCACAACAAAAATATGTGACCAATTATAGTTATCTTTATTCTATTGGTTAAATTACAAGATAAAAAGTAAAATAAGAAAAGAACCAAAACCATGCAGGTAATTATTATAACAAGATGATACTATTTTGTATCATACCCAAAAAAAAAAAATTTACTCATAAAAAATACACAAAATATTTATTTTAAGGAGTAATAATGTAAAATTTTTAACATTATTATTTAATTATAAATTATCGTATCATTTAAAATAATTTAATTTTTGTACTTCAAAAGTCATACATATTGTAATTTTTAATTAATTAATAATATAAAAAGTTTCATGTAAATAATTCATCAAAATTAAACTATTCATTTAATGGATAGTTTAATACTTATTAAATGAAAAGTATAAAACAATTAATGCTTTAAAAATATAAAGAAACATTATTATACTTCCCTTACATAATAAATAGATGAATTTATAAACCATTATAAAAAGGTATTAAGTTATTTATTAAATACTAAACGACAAGATATATTTGTTAGGCAAATACTTATTGCCACTGAATGCACGTTATTAAGGACTTGTATTCGTTTTTCTTTTCTTTTTTTATGAAACTCCATTGCATAATTTCCATCCATATGTATTGCATATTCATAGGTTTTACACTAATATTATATATACTAAAATTTCAAACTCCTATAACAATAAAAGTAAGTCTAAAAGCTTTTGATGGTTCTTAATTTTTATTTTTGTTTCATGATCACTTTGAAAAAGTGAGCTTTTGCTTAACACTTATCGCTTAAAGAAGAATATAAGGAACAGGGCATCGACGTGAGAAAAATTTACAAAGACTTATTAAGTTTCAAGAAGAATGAACAATTCCCTTGATGAAATAATTAGACGCTGCACTAACAAATAATTGCTCACGATCTATTTTCATGAAGCAAAATTTGAGAGTATTTCTACCTCCTTTTCTTTTTCTTCATATTATACATAGGATGAAAACATTTTAAAAGTCTCTTATATTTTAATCAGAATCTTCCTAAACTACTATGGAAATGTTCGTAGGAAAAAAATTGTTAGTTATTCAACTAATTTTAAATTATGTAAACGTGTTAAAAAAATAGTATATATTCAACTATATTAATTATATAAATTGGTTGATGATTAAATACAAATAATTCATTTAAAAATAATGTATGATTATATTAAAGAAAAAAATTATCTTTTAAATACAAGTTCTTGATATACTTAAAAAAGCTTTTAGTTAAGTGTAATTGAAAGTAAAGATTGTAACCAACTAAAAAACATAAAAATATTATGTTGTAAATAAACATAAAAATGTTATAAATAAATGTAAAGAGTGAAATTATAGAACAAGTGGTTGTAAATGAAAATAAAATATAAAAAAAGAAATGAAAAATAAAGGTAAAGATAAGTTATAATATGTTTGATTGGTTGATTGTTTGTCTTACAACATGTATAAATATAGCTTATAAAATATGTATAAAGTAATTATTTGACCTAAAAAATTGTTATAGATATTCCTACTTTACTACCCTAAGTTAATAATATGCTAAGTTGCTTAGTTAACAACTTTTGGCGCTTAGTAATCATTATCCGTTAACTTTTCTAATCAATAAATGAAATTATTTCAAATATGCTAGTTAAGTGTGCAATGCGCATGTTCATTATGTTGTCCTAGATGTTATTCTAGTGAAACATAGTTAAAAATTCACTCCTCAATTAATTGTTGGATAGTCTTTATATTGCACAAAAGAGATTTCGAGTTGAATTCATGTTTAACTCTCCGTGTTTCTAGAATGTTCAAGCTTTTAGAGTTGGTAGAAAATATATTATATAGAGCTTCAAAACAATTCCAGGTTAATATAGAGCTCCAAAACCTCTTATCCCTTAAAACAAGGGGCGATTGACATCATATCCTCTATGAATTTGAATTCTACGCTTATCTCTAAGGTAATGGTTAACAACCATATTTTTACCTTCCAAACAATTGACTATCATATTTGGAATAATATACAAAAGGTTTAATTATATTTATGGTCCTAGTATAAAAGTAGTAGTACCGTTTAGGATAAGTTCTTAAAAAAATTATTAACATTTAGTTCCTAACATTTTCAAAATATAAAAATTTAATCCATGTCATCAATTATTCTTCATTAAGTGATGAACTGAATAATAGAAATAAAGCTCATCATTATTACATTAGTACCACATCATCATTTATTATGTAAAAAATAATAGTTGTTAAAACGTCTCTAAAAAATATAATATTATTTTTTCCCTCAATCATTCTCTCTTTTCCATTTCTTCAACTAGTAAGAACCTGGTTGGGACCTTTGTAGCTAATGATCCTACTAGCAAGCCTACATTGGCCTTTCAATTTGGAGTATTTCTATTGCTTCCTTCTCCAATTTGAAGGGAAACTTACTAATGTTACTTCTTTTGGCATTTCCTTACTATAAAGGCATTAGGGTATGCAAATGTAATTGATTGTGAATATAATATACCTTTTATATTTGTGTGTGCTTTTAGTTGATTGGAAAAGCTAGCAATTTTTATTAATGCTTTAAATATAGTGAATCATGAAGACTTAGAGAGTAATGCACACATAGGTCAACATGTGAATGTTGTTGTTACTTTGTAAGATAGAAAATTCAAAAAACATTACTAAACTCTTAAAACATTTTTTGTGATAGAAGTCTCCATCTTTTGAAAGAATTTGTTGAAATGGATGACATTTAGATAAAAATAGTTTCCATATTGTTTAGGAGAACCAAAATTTGATGATTTTAGGGTTGACAAAATTGAAAATTGATGAACAAAACTGTATAATTAGAAAGATATCTAAAAGATCCAAAGAGAATATCTTACTCATTATTGTTGCAAAACATGATTCTCCCCTATTATTTCTTCACCAATTTCATTCAAATCAAACGTATCTTTCTCATATTCTCATCACTTTTTAGAACTCACTTAACCAATTCACCCATCAAACAAATTCTAACAAGAATGCAACAATTTTATTCATAGAAAAGATTTATTTCCAAAACTCTCTCTCTCTCTATGTGTGTCTTGTACCATCTAAGGGTTTGTTTGGGAATTTGGAGGGAGGGGGAAGGAGGTTAAACCCCTCCTTTGTTTAAATGTATAATATTGAGAGGGGAGGATGATGGAGTGTTTAATTATATAAATAATATTATGTTTTATATCTTTTATTTATATTTTTTATTTTTATTCAAAAAAATTAATAATTTTATTTTTATAATTTTTTTAAAAAAATTCATCACTTGAAAATTTAATATTTTTTTCTAAAAGAGTTAAAATCCTATTTATGAAAGAGTATTAGAGAGTGAAAGAGAGAAAAAAAAACTCCAAAATAGGGGAACTCAAAAAATAAGGGTTATGATGGTTTAGAAAAATTCTCAAAATCTTCTCTTCCTAATTAAGCAACTTTTAAACAATGATTAATCCCTCTTAACCCCTCACTTCCCCTCTCTTCTCTTCCTAAACACAACTCTCAAATATAACCTAAGGGACCACAAAGACAAAAATAGTAGAAGAACTT